AGCACCGGGGCAGGGGGCACGGCCTGAGGTCCCCTGTCAAGCCCCGCTGGGTGGGGGGCGCGGCCTGAGGTCCCCTGGCCAGGTCCCCTGCCCTGGCCCAGCACCACGCAGCCTCAGGTCCCTGCTGATTGCTCATTAAGGCTCATTACAGGAACTCTGCCTTCGCTGTTGGTGCAGCCATCTTGTGTTACAGGATCCCTGCCTCTGCTGTGGGCACAGCCATCTGTGTTATGGAATCCCTGCCTCCACTGTGGGTGCAGCCATCTTGTTATGGTATGATGGGCAATTTGCATATTCCCTATTTATCAAGATAGGATTGCTAATTGAGATGCACACTAAGATTACATGAAGAAAGAAAGTATTTATATTTCTAAAAGTCCATTTGCTCATATCTCAACTTGCATGAAAGAATACTAAGAAAATTAGTTAAATAAACTTGCTATTTGTTTCAAGAATATTGTTGAGAATGTTGCTTAGTATCACCTGTATGAAAATCCATAGAATAAATCTTTGATAGGACTTGGTACCAGGAAAAGTCATGAAATTAATCATTTATTTTACATCTCTCCTTTTGTCTTCATACTAGGAAACTTAATCCAAATGTGCAGCCCAACTTAAAATTGAATAGCCATTGGTAACATATTTTTAAATAATAAATTTACCGAATTTACTGTTTTGAATGAGGTTTCCTATTCCTTTTATTCACCTGGATTATTTCTCCTTTTACAAATCCTATTTTATTTCAATATAGACAGATACATATATTTGATATGCTTTACTAAAATATATATGAAGTGGCCATAGAGAGTTCTCAATTTCAGTAATAATTGAAAATATGTATTTTAAAGCCATAATGAGTTACCACTATACTTCTACAAGAATGGTGAACATTAATAAACAAACCCCCCAACAAAAAATAAATAAAAAATGGTGACATCAAGGGTCGGTCAAAATGTAAACAGGAACAACTGAAAATTCCATATACTTTCAGTAGAAGTATAAATATGTATACCAAATTTGAAAAAAAAAATTAGCAAAATTTTTTGCTATAGCTGAACATATGAGTAGCCACAACTCAATAAATCTGCTCTAATGTATGATGCCCTCAGAGATGCTACCCATGTGCACTGAAAGGCATGTACCAGGAGTAACAGCCGCCAAGCAGTAACCACTCCAAGGTCAGCAATAAATAAAGTGTGGTATATTCCTACAAATTATGCTACACAGCAAGGGGATATTGAAATAATGATACTAAATCTCACAAACATACTGTGGAGTGAATAAAACCAGAAACAAAGGTACACATATTTTATGATTCCATTTATATGAAGTTCAAAACAGGCAAAGTTAACCTTTGGTGTGAAAGTCAGGTATTGGTTGCTTTTGGGGAAATGAGTAGTAGTGATTGGGGCTGAGCAAGAGGAGAGACTTCTTAGTGTGCCTCATTGCTGAAAATTCATAGAGATGTACACTTAGGATTTGAACAATTTTTTTTTTGCCTGTTTGTGATACATGAAATAAATAATCAAATTTACCTTAAAATGATATTATATCACAAATATTTGTGTGTCACAGTCCAAATAGTCTTAGGAGAAAATAAATAAATAAATGCATACATTTAAAAAATAGTGATAAGTGATAAAGGACAAAAAAAAAAAACCAAGGGAATTTTTTCATCCAGTGCTCATATTGACATTTGCCATCATATAAACTCACTGTCATTTGTGCATAGTGCACATTTTAGAGAATGTATTCTGTAAAGTGAGTTATGAGTTCTTAACATTTTAAACATAAGTCTGATCTATCCTAAATATTATGGAATAGAAATGAGAGCATGAGAAATAATATTTTCCAAAATTCAATGCAGGAAACATTAGCTTTTATGTTTGTATAAGAGTTTTTTTATCTTGAAGGTTAAAAGGAAAAATCAAGCCTCAAAATATTACTTATCTTCATGCTGTTAAGTCACCAACAAGGACAATACTTTGTTAGTTAAAAAAAAAAAATCCTGTGAAGCAAACCTTCATTAGCAATTTAATATGGGTAGTTTGCATACATTATAATTACCCAATCCTTAAAACCTCTAGAGTGAGTTTTTACTTTTCCTTTGGCTATATGCCCACTTTCTTAAGTTGATTTATTAATGTCCAAGGTTGCTTTGCAGTTTTATCCTTTTAGCAATAATAGATGCAATATATCACAAAAACAAATTTTTAAGAGAACATCATTAGAGTGATGTAGCACTAGTAATAAACCCCTTCACACTTGGATGAACTTAAATCAGTTTCTCTTTATTGATTTTTGGTCATAACATAATTTTAAAGTTCAACTCAGTTAATAAAAAAAGATTTCCTCTGGTGTTATGGGCAAAATTCTTGTGTTCTAAGTTTCTACTTCATTTGTGGAAGACTGTTACACTTGTATCATATATGGATCTTGAAGAGATAGAGCAATAAGAATATTATTTTGTGATAATTTTTATGTATAATATATTTTCCTCCCCTTTTCTTGATGTGAATTCTTCAATTCATCCTTATCATGATAGGATTCAATAATTCTATGAGTGAAAATTTACTAGGACATAATTGCCTCCAATTTATGTGTATCTGTGTGTGTGGGTGGTGGTGGTGGGGTAAAATGTAAAAATTAAATATTTATCAAATATTATCAAATACAAATAAACTGTTTAAATGATTTAGTCTATACATTTTCTGAGAGCATTTTAATTATTTTTGCTAATTATGTGATCATTTTCTTTAGGTTGCTACTTTTTTTTTTAACATGGGATTAAAAGTCCTACATGAAAAGTGGGTAGTTTACTGATTTTGTATTTTGTTCACTAAACTAGACTTAAAAATTAATTAATCTAACTTGTTTTAAACATTATGAATCAAAGACTCTATGAAGAGTCTATCCTATCAGGAGAATTAGTTTCTTTATCCAGAATTTAGTAATTAAATGCATGTGAAAAGGTAAAAAATGCTAGTTGTATATGAACTCAAGTAAGGATGTTAAACTTCTATTTACTGCTATTCTTCCTGTAAAACTGTGTCTATAATAATAATTCTCTTTTTCCACCACTGCAATATAACACATTACATGTAATTCATGATTCCCTGCGCTCAGTCAAATCTAGTCCACAGCATTTATAAAATTCCCAGCTCTATCAATATTTCCTGGCCTTTAGTTTTTTTACACAAGGAAACTAAACAATGCATGAGAACAAAAGTTCACCCTATTATAACCTTGCATCCACTTTATTTTTTAAAGCAAATTATTAACAAATTAATTTGCTTTATTTTTAAATATCATAATATAATAATCACACACTGAAGAGAAAGGTAGCATCAGGCAATTAGCAATCAATGGTTTGAAGAACATTTAAGTATAATTGTATTATTAGCTTGGATGATAATATATTTTCACTGACTCTTGATTTTGACAGAAAGGCAATGGATACATGCTCCATTATGCATCAGCTTTAAAAAGATCAAATCTATATTTATTAATTTATCTGGAATAAAATAGCCCTCTATCAGGTTGACCAGAGCAAAAATCCAAACTATACATCTCCAATATCTCTCTATCACCTCTTGTCAAAACATCTTGACGTCTTTGCAAGTTCAAATGTGATCTAACTTCTGAAATTCACTTAAAATGTGTTTACTCATTCAACAAATATTTATTTAGTAAGGCATGCTATATTAAGAACATAGGAGAAAATATAAGACAGAGAATTCCCTCCTCAAATAAAAGGGCGGACAGTCTAAGTGAAGCAGACATGGAATCATTTGTCAGGATAGTAACACATGTAGATAGGGGGTGGCCAGAATAAGTTAAGCAGACGATAGATATTGGAGCATAAATTCCCAATGAAAAAAAGAAGAAAACTATCCCATTTCTCGCAGTGACAGCCAGGCTGCCATCAGAACACATCTAATACATTTGGAGGTGGTTTAACAGAGCCATTCAAACAGAGGTTTCAGAATCATAAAGAACTGTTTCTAATTCAATTTAAGACACTAGCCATGCTGCAGAGCCTAGATACTTTTCTTGTACTTATGCTTAACATACTTAATCTATAAAATGAGACCACTAGAATTTTTGTGAAGGTTGAATGAAATAATTTGTGTAAAACTCCTAGGTTTTAGAACATAACACATGATCAATAAAGTGCAGGTTTTACCTACACCATCTACAACTTAAGACAGAATTTTTTTGAGCCAATGGGCAGAATGATCACAATCAAGATTATTACTTATTTGTAAATGAGCTAAAAACGTTATATATATTACTGAATGCCTAATGCCATCAGTGTGGCTCTATGACATCATCTATAATAATAAAAGCGTAATATGCTAATTAGACCGGATGACCTTCCTGGACGAAGCCGGGGCTGCGAGTGCCGAAGCAAGCCACCGCGGCTGCAAGGGCTGAGCCCCTCGCACAAATTTCATGCATTGGCCTTTAGTGTAACGTAATAATCTTCAAAATGAACATTAGAGAAATGATAGCGCTGATTTGCTGATGAGAACTGCTTTAGAAATATTGGCATACAATCTTTTTTAGGTTGCACATAATTTCAGGACCTATTTTGAGTTTCAGTTGGTAAAAATGTCAGTCGTGTGTGCCTTTATTTAATAACATTTGTTGTACAGATTAAATGTTTCTAAGGAAGACTTATTCAAAAAATGATAGGCAATTTAATCCTCCCATAATATATCAGATAGAAATTTTTTTTTTCAAAACCTTAACTCTATTCTTCAAAGACTAAAACATTATTCTGGCTATGGCAATCATCCTTTTGTTTTGTCTATTTGTTTGCTTGTTCATTTATAAGAATCCTGAGATGGTAAGACAATAAGAAAATAGAGGGCAGAGTCAGGCCATGTTCTCATGAGACTTAACCCTATGAGGGAACATCCAGAATTAATAACAACTGAACCTAGAGCTAGTCAACCAGCTAATTGCTTTCAAGAATGGTCATCATTAATCCAGATATTGCCATTTCATTTTAGTTAAATAAGGAATTTCACACTGGCAAGAGAGTCTACAGTACTCATATCTTGTTCAAGGTTGACTGCTTCTTTCATAGTGAGCCGATGGCTCATGCTTGCATGTACGAGCATTGTGGTATTTACCCTGGTAATCTAGGTTCCTGTGCTTGGAAGAGATGGGCGATCCACACAAATCCTCAATTTACACTTATTATGTAGAATGAGATCATCAAAACTCCAAATATGATCATGTTTACTATTTTTTAAATCCCAATATATTTTTTAAATTTTCCGCATATTTCCTAGAACATTTATTTTGCAATGTATGGCGCTTTTTTAACCACTCAAATGTATTTATTTAACACACACACACACACACACACACACACTCCCTTTGGAATACATGGAACACAGGGAGTGATTCCTGCTAGAATCCATTTTTTTTTTGTGATACTGAAAACTATATATAATTGTATTATTTTCTGCTTTAAAAAAAAGAAGAGAGACTGTATAATCACAACATCATGAAGTGGCAGATTTTGAGATTATGGTCCAACCCTTATATTTGGAAACTAAAGAAATAAGATTTAAATAAATTATGACTTTAACCAGTAAATGATGAGTTAAGCCCATTTTTTAATTTGTCCTCTAAACATATTTCTGTGAAGTATAGACATATAAAGTAAGTGGTAAGGTAGTGTTTTCATAAAGTTGTTTTCATTGTAATCAATAAGGAGATATTATTCTACCTTTATACTGGAATTCTCAGATAATACTTTAAAACTGTTAAGCAAGCACGTAGAAAATCCCCAAATTATAACATTACTCAAAATTCTTCAATAGAGATTCTTCAATGAAAAACAAGAATATTTAAGCAATTCCCTCAACTTGAGACTGACAAGATATATTGTGATTCCAAATAGTCCACTTTGATAACCTTCTTCCACTTGTGTTGGTTAAATTCAGAATAGTTATCATTGAGGGAAAGAGTAAAAATATAAATGCATTATTCACACTAGCTCCATCTGCAGCATCCCTCCACTGCATACTGAGCCTCCCTAGATGCTAAAAAGAGCCAATAGACAACTATATCACATATCCCCCATGTCCTGACCATCCACCCCTGAAATTATGCATGGTTTACTCCTGACCCTTATAAACAGTGATATAAATTGTGAGTGTAACCAAACTCATAATATGAGACACTCTTAGAACCAAAATAGAAGCCTGCACAAACCCTCCAGTTTGTCAATGAAAACAGTCTTTTAATATAAAATAAGTTTCATAACTTCCTAAATGAGCTTTCATTTTAAAGAATCTTTATTTCAGAAATGAAACATTTTTTTTATCAATTTGAGAAAAAAAAAGGATTTTTCATCAGTATTGCCAGAGGTGAAGGAACCTTCTAGGGTGATAACCTATTTCAACCACTGCAGTACCTTCAGGATAAAGAAAATAGTTTTAATTTTGGATAATAAATCACTTTTGCAGCATTTCAAAGATCAAGAAACTTGCTTATCACAACAGAATTTTGTTATCACAATGTAAAGTCCTCAGGCAATGAGGACTGCAGCAAAATCTTTCTTCTTCTATAACTGGATCAATATTTTTGAGTATATAAATATATGTATTCATTGAGTCTCTTTCACCTACTATATTTCATATTTGCTATAAATTCTTCAATGTCACAGGAGACTGCAAGACCTAAATTAAATCTGACACACAAATACACTATGAAGTAGACACACACACACACACACACACACACACACGAAGTTTTTACTCACTATTCTGAATACTCAGCATTGCATTGCCCTAGTTATAAAACCAGAAATTTGGCTTTGTTTCCCAACATAAGAGTCTATTGAGAGGAATGATAGCAGAGGAAAATAAATAGGGTATACTGTTCCCTAGGACCTCCTGGTTCTGGAATAATAATACATCTCATCTTGTTTGAGATGACAACAAAGAACATGTTGATAATGATCAACACATTATGTCAAAAGGTCTTTGTATGTACTTTTCTCTCTGGCTGGAAGGTCCTTCCCTCCCAATCTAATCCAATTAATAATTTTGTATTCTTCATTTTTTAGAAAAATAATATATTTGGAGGGGTGTTTTCGGACTTGCTTTACCAGGCTAGATCCTCCAAATATATATTGTATTTACTTCTATGCTTATCCTATTACTAGTGACCTGGTGCATGAAATTCGTGCATGGGAGGGGGGGTGTCCCTCAGCCCAGCCTGCACCCTCTCCAATCTGGCACCCTTTGGGGGATGTCCGACTGCCGGTTTAGGCCCAATCCACAGGCACCCTCTCGCAATCCGGGACCGCTGGCTCCTAACTGCTCACCTGCCTGCCTGCCTGATTGCCCCTAACCACTCTGCTTGCTAGTCTAATCACCCCTAAATGCCCCCACACTGGCCTGCTCACCCCCAACTGCCCCCCATGCCAGTATGATAACCCCTAACTGGCCTGCTCACCCCCACCTGCTCTCCCTGCCGGCCTGCTTGCTCTCAACTGTCTCCCACTGCCGGCCTGATCACCTCTAACTGCCTCTGACTCAGCCCCACCACCATGGCTTTGTCTGGAATGGCATCTGGAAGATCTCCTGGAAGGTCTCCAGGTCTAATTAGCATATTACCCTTTTATTAGTATAGATTATTGGTATGATTGATCAATTAATATTTCAGAACACCATCACTGCGGTGTAAGCTGAGGACAAAGATCATGCTTATTTCTGACAATTATGTGTCTCTGGTTTCTAACAAATAATTTGATAGTTTTTCATATGTTTGTATTGAAAAGTATTAATGATTCAATTCAAGAACTTTCTGTTTTCTAAAACCCAGTTTGTAGTAGACTTTAACATTATCTTCCTACTTGTTAATAAAGGCAGTCCCCATTGTATCACATGCTATGATTGAAACATGTATCTGAAAACAGAAGCCATATTTAAGTGGCAGTCTCTAGTTTGTAAATATATATACAATTCAGTATAAAAAATGAAACTTCTTTGGGTTAATGGCATCAGTAACAGCAATTTGGATGTGAGCTGCTAATATCAATTCAAAAGAGAGTATGCTTATGAGATTCAGGTAATTATTAAGCAGTAAATGAACATGTAACTTCAATTGATATGCAAGGCATCATTTTCTAACAAGGGTATCTTTGGTTAAAATTTACCAGTGATCAGATCCTCAACATATTGAGGAAATGGTCCAGTATATAATTAAGAAATCATGATTTTAAGTGCCATAATCACTTCAAATTTGTCTCAATGTTATTTTTTCTAGTTTTTGTCTTTAAAGTAACTCAGTACTTCAATTTTTTGTTATTGATTTAGTTTCTTCTTAGAAAATTATTTTTAAATTACTATAGCATTAGTAAATCACTATTATTTGATGTCCAAGCTTTTAGCATCCAATGAAACAATATCACACTTTTAATTCTTCCATTGAATCATTAGTGCTTGAACTTACTCAAATTAAAGCCAGTAAAATGAATCCTGAACACTTTCAATGAACTTTTTTTGTTAATTGCTTTCCAGCCAACATAACATATATTAGGCTAGTAGTAACCTAAAACATCTATAGGAAGCGGTCAAATTTCTGTTTTTAATTCATCCATAAGTATTATAAATCCTATAAAATATTTATTTATATGAATATTAACATTATTTGATATTATTATCAAACATGTTTAGTAGTAGAATCAATAATTTTATTCTCTAAAATTATGTACATTAATGCTATAATTTTTGCTTTTAACCACATATTTACAGCAAATATAAAAAGTCAATTCAAGAATTATATTCAACCCTTTTCCTGTTCTCAATCTACATGAACTTCATTGTTCAAAGATGTATGAAATTGAAAATAAAGGTCGCAAGTCAAGCAAAGTCAATGTTCCGTGACTTCAGGTATGCTATTCTGCAGTTATCAAATAGATTTTCATGTGGCTCATGAGCTTGACACTTAGAAATAACTTGGGGGGTGATCAACAGAGTTATGCTATATTTGTTTCAGATGGGAGGTTGACATAATAAAATCAAGTTTTCCAGTATAAATAAAAATGAAACCCGGTTAACTTGTGTTTCAGCTAAGAAAAAATAGGAAAGAAAGGGACACATGTATATTACTCTTCTGCTTATCCGTTTACCCTTCACAAATTAAAATACACACAAAACCAAAAAAGAACAACAAAACAGTGAGGACTCTGAAGTATCTCTGACACACCAATATTTTGACCATAGCTCTAAGTAAACAATTAACTCCCCTACTGAGTGGAAGAACCAAGCACCTTGCCAGGCAGAGGGAACATGCAGGGTAAAAATACATAAACTAAGTAATGAAGAAGTAATGCATTTAGAGTCACACCATTTTAATGGGGATTGGGGTAAGATTGCAAAAAAAAAAAATGGGGTAGCAAAATTTTGCAACTGAAGGTTTCCTGAAAGAAAACAAGTCTTTTAATATTGAAAAATGTGTTCTGAATTTGAATTTTAATTTTAAGAAAATACGTTACCATCCCCATGTCCTTTGTAATGCTGAAATAATTCTAACTACCACACTAATCAATCTCAGTCAAAATTCACATTTTTCTAAGCCATTTTTACTATATTAAATTCTAAATTTATTATATGCCAATCCATTCATATTTTAGGTGTCTTTTAGAAATCATGTGAAAACTTTTGTAGCCCTTTTTCATCACAGAATTTTAAGATGTTTTACTGTGCAAAAACTTTTATCTTCAAACAATTTTCACAGCTTTTATATTGAAAAAATTATAATAGCTCCATTATTAACTAATATTATAGTAAACTATTATAAGTATCAAGTTACAAATTTAATTGAAATATTTTTATTAGTTAAGAATGTGTTAATTCTCTGAGAATACAAAACTAAGTATATGATAAATTTTAAAAAATAACAGCTTCCCAGAATTTGGAGAGGTAATTTCTCATTGCTAACATTTACATGAGCTTGAAATAGATCATTGGGCTATAATCTGAAAAGATTCAATCTATCATCACTTATGCATGATCTGTTAAAATATGGCACAAGCAAAGCAAAGTCAATGTGATATTTTGTCACATGGTATAAAAAGCTTCAATCCTATATAAGTGGTTAGGACTTACTTAAAACAATGTATTTACTGTATAGTTCCATAAAAAAGTCTGAATTAATCCATCTGCATTTTATAATAATGGAAAATTTGCATTGTTTTCTCCTCTAGGATACTTTTCTTTCTCTATTCCTCTCTCTCCCTCCCTCCTATTTCTCTCTTTATGGCTTCAAACTATTCCCAAAGTCACATGGTCTTTTTGGTAGGCAGAATTCTAAGATGGTCCTCAAGAATCCTGCCCCATGGTGTACCTTAAATTTGCATGAGTCAAATGAATATGATATAATTTCACTATCATAATTATGTTGATATTTTTTGCTGATTGTAAAGAAATTTTGCTTTTGTAATTAACAACATCAGTCAGTTGACTTTGAGTTAATAAAAAGGGAGATTAACATGGGTGGGCCTGACCTAATTAGGTGAGCACTATAAAAGTCAGAGCTATTCAACACAGCGAAAGTGTTCTTCTGCTGGCCTGGAACAAAGCAAAAGGTCCTACTGCAAACTGAGTATGGAGGAAGTCATATGGTCAGCACCTGAGAGTGGCTGGAGGGTCTGAGAGGAACCCTAGGCCATAAGAAAACAACAACACTAGTCCTGAGCTACCAAGAGCTAAGTTCTTCCAACAACCTTAATGCTCCTGGAAGAGGACCTCAATCTTCACATGAGAAATCAGCATTGAATAGCATGTTGATTTCAGCCTTTTAAGGCTCTGAGCAAGAAGCCCAGCCATGCTGTGCCTGTATTTCTACCCCACGGAATTGAGATAATTAAATGTATGTTGTTTTGAGCAATTAAATGGGTGATAATTTTTACATAGCAATAGAAATCAAAGTCTTAGTGCTTTGTCTGAGTCATAGGAGTCTTCTTCAATAAAGAAAACAATACTATACGATTTTAGGAAAATTTAATAAATTTAAGCTATTTCGAATCAATGTGAAACATAATCACTGATAACCATATTTGCTGAATGACATGCTACAACTTCACACTACTGCTCTATATCAGTCTATCCAAACTCCTTCAGCAATGTACCCCATTAGTCTATGTTCTAAAGAACATAAAGTTATTTTTATTGTCTACTTTAGGTCACAGGTGTTATCAGAGTACTGTCATACTTAAAACAATGAATGAAACACCAAAAAACGTTTGCATGAAAAAAAGTCCAGCTTGTAAGGCCAAAGAGGTTGGAATTCCTATCAGGATTCAGACACATGCAGCAATAACAGGAACCTAACTTACCACCTTTAAGTCACGCTGGGATCTCCATTCATATGAGGGAAACTGGCTCCCACATGGGAACTGGAAATAGCTTCTAAGAAAATATGTCCACACAGAAAAATGAAGATTACTAGCAGCAATATGAACTCTGACTTAGCTGTAGAAGAAGCAATCTAAGTAAATGGAAAGCTGGCTCAGGACCTTAAAAATAGTGATTCCTACTTTTTTTCCTGTTGTTGAGAAAAGAGTATATGATGATCCCTTCTGTACACGTGAGGTTAATCTCCCTTGAATGAAGCTTTGCTAAATACATATCAATCTCAGTATTTCTCTCAGCTCATAGACAGTGATTAATTTGAATAGTTGCTTTATATACTGAGAATCAATTCCTTCAAATAGCAGCTTTATCTTAGTCATAATAAGTGACCATTTTATTGAGCATTCAGAGGTGGCAGAGCACCGTAAATTAAAGAAACACATTATAAGTAATTAAGTCTTTGAATGGTGCTCTTTCCTTACCTTTAGTTGTAAAAAACAACAACAAATAGTTTTATATCAACTTGGATTCTTATATGATGAAAGCCTATGGTTTTAGAGGGAGAGTTTAAGTGAAACCCAATGCATTACTGTCCAATATTTAAAAAAACACCCACAAAAGACAAACAACAACAACAACAAAAAAAGCACAAGTCTTATGGGAACTTGCTCTGAATGAAAATCAATGCACATTCACAGAGCATAAGTAATAATGAGCTTTCTAGTGATGAGGCAGTGTGCTTTGGCATCTCACTGTCAGAGACTGGGCAAATTCGTGGCTTTCTGCCAATCAAACTGAGCTTAAAGGGCATGTCACCATGTTCAGATCATGTTACACAAATGAAAAGATTACACAAGAGAGAAACCGATATCCCTAACTTGCTTTAAGATTCTGTCAAATAATAGAAAACATTCCCTTTCACGCCCACCTCTCTGATTTATGTGAGGCCCCTTCGGATGGTTTCTTGTTATAAAATCAGAAAACTCCATGAGAATTTTAAAATAATCAGCTTTGGTAAATAATCCCATTTACTTAAAAAGCAAGAAGCACAGACAATCATTTAAAAACTATTGTTGTGCAATTTTGGAATAAGACCACAAAAACGGTGTATAAATATCTCTGGAGGATTTCAAACACAAAACTATATTCAGAGAATCTGAGCATCATCCAGTGGTGAGGCCTCCTCAGAAACGCTTCTGTATTTGCACATTTACTTATGATATATGTTAGAGTACAACGTAATAGAGGAGGGGAAATAATTTCTCATTAAAAGCACATATTTCCAGTAGACTAAATGAGCCTTCAAGATCTTCATTGGAAACTTTAATTCACATATCCATTCAGCAAGAACATTTTTATGGGGCTATTGTACTCTTATTGATGCCTAGAAATATAATACTGAAGGAAGAAAGAAGCAGAGAACAGAATTTTCTCTCTTCAGAGCCTATCGTTATGTGAGATGGTAGATAAATAAAAGCAAAGACCCCAATACCCTCCCCTAGGTGCTGCAGTACAGTGGCAAGTAACTGGGGGATAAGACACCTGGGAAAATAAATAAAAAGTCAGACAACCAACCAGATGGTGATATATGCAACAGCAAATTGCCACATGTACTAAACCTTTCAAATAGCTCATTTTTATGTAAAGTTTAGAATCTAGACAATAAATGTCAACTAATTGTAACAACTAGGTGAAAATTTATGTACATGTGAGGTATGCTGGCAAGTTTGTATTGCTTGTCTTAAAAGACTTAGGCCCCCTAGAATTGAACAAATGCTCAAGGAAGAAATAATATAACGAGATCTGTGAATTTGTTTAGAATTGAAAATATTAGTATGAATTCATGGAGAGGTGGAGAGGTGCAGAGGGAGAGAGTAAGAATGAGAGACAAAGAGAAAGGGGGGATTACAAGTACAAAAAGCAAAAATGAATAATGTACAGTGCTGCAATTATAGGAAAAAAATATAGTCTAAGCAGAAAATATATGAGAAAAAAATAGCTAATAATAAAACAGGGTAGTAAAATTAGGAGAGCAGAAAGAAAAAAGTTCTATGTAAACATATCAGAGCAACTAACCCAGAAAAAAAAATGTAAGAGGGGCTCAGGAATATCTTCAAATTTAAAATAATGCACTGGTGGAGTGTAGGTGGATTAAATGCAGAGCTGAAAAGGTTGGAGATGGTGTGCTAGCGTTGAGCAAGCTGCCCCAGTACAAGGAACCATATATGCAAAAACACATGGTTAAGTGAAACCATGGCCTGTTCCATTTGGAGCACTATAGAATGGGTTCCACGTGTCACAAGAACCAAGAATAGAGAGATAGCCAGGGTCAGTAAATCAAGCTCAGTATTTGGATTTTACAGTGAAGGCAAAAGAGGTCAGGAGAATACTGTACCAGGGGACTGTCACAGTCAAGTTCATTTTAGAGAGCTCTCTCTGTTTTAGAAGGAATTAAGATTAAGAACAAGAAGGTATATCTTAGGGTTATTACAGTTATCCAGGTGATAAATAATGAGGGTCTAAGAAATTAGTGGTTCTGGAATAGAGAGGAGAGGAGAAGCCTACTATATATATATATTAGAGACCCATTGCATGAAGATTCACGCAATAGGCCTTCCTTCCCTTGGCTGCCGGCACCAGTTTTCCTCCGGCACCCGGGACACAGGCCTTTGGTCCGGCCGCAGTGGAGAAGCCAAGCCTCTTCAATCTTCAGTTGTCTTCAGTGTTCTCTCCACACCTGCATATGCAAATTAACCACCATCTTTGTTGGGTTAATTTGCATACCCATCCTGATTTGCTGGTGGGCGTAGTGGAGCGATGCCAATTTGCATGTTTCTCTTTTATTAGTGTAGATATAAAGTAAATTCATGGGATTTAGGCTTTGTTTCCATGTGGGGGTGAAAGAAAAAGAGTTGAACATAACGACCATAGGCCTGGTTCAAGTCATTGGTTTGATGGGATCCCCTTAAAAGAATATGGTATGTAAAGAAGAAAATAAAGATTAGAGAGAGAGGAAGACTATGATGCTTGGACAGAGTTTACCAAGATACCTTCTTTGGCGATTTGGTCTTCCAAAACTAATTTTACTTTCTGTTTCTGCAATTTTTTCATATAGTTTTACAGAAAACCAGAAATAACTGAGCATTATTATAAACAGATTTTGAAGGAATGATTTCATGGTAAGAATGAAGAAAAAAAAATCAGTCATTACGCATAGACAAAACCTTAGGTTGTCCCAGAGAACAACTTTTAAAGTCTTTCACTCTGGCCTTCAATGAGTCATTTGCCTGGACTCCTGATGGGCTTATACCTAGAGAGGCTTGGAACTTAAAAAAGAGCATCTTTTCCTTCCATCTTTCATCATTTCAGATTGAAATGGCAAAACGCCTGGTACCACAGGTAAGTGCCAGAAACAGCATTAAAAATTTGGCTCTTGTTAAATGCCTTCGAAGAAACCTCTGTTTTCATCAGGAAATGGCAATTACATGGGTAATATGGCCTGCCAAGGTTCATTCTGGAGAAGGGAAGTAGTCCATAGTGTGGCTATTTCCCTTACATTTGTTTACAGTTTCTACATATTACTTTTCATGGAAGCATATGATAAAAAAATAAGTAGCTACAATTCAGCAGTATGTATATTATTTATTCTCCTTATAGTTTTAGTCCTCTAGTACCAACACAGGTAACCCTTGCATGCATTTATGTATTTGAACAAAATCTTGCAATCAACTAGGACAAAAAATATGTTGGTTCATTTTTCTATTTAATTTTTCCTTCATTATTTATTTAAAATTTAGTTCCTTCTTCAATCTCCTTTCTAAGAGAATTTTAAATAAGGATTTAATCATCTTAATGTTAAATCATACAGCTATCAGTAACAGTATTATATTTGCAACAGGGTTTTTTTTTGTTTGTTTAGATTTCTAGTCTTCCTATAACTCATGTGAAAAGCAATAGCTTAAAGACGCCAAATGTAATATTACAATCTCCTGTAGATATAGGACTGCTACATACAATCACTCTCCAAAATATTCATAATAAGAACAATGGAAAGAAAACGGAATTTGGGGCAGGGACTTCAAAGTGCTTTATCAGTTCTGGTACTCTCTCATAATGGTCTTTATTAAATCACTTAGCCTCACTGAGATTTAAAATTTCTTCACAGGTAAATAGGAATAACACACAAATGTATTTCTGACAGGATTAAATGAGGGCCACATGCTACAACTTACATCAGAGTGCTCTGTGGGGAGTAAATCACCATCCAAAATATTATCAAGATAGTTATTTCCAACCTCCATTGGGGTCCTGAAACCACTTCTGAAGGTAATTTTCATCATCTCCACCTTAAGTAGTCAGATGTCGTAAACGCCTGTCTATTCCTCTGCTACTTGTTATTTTCAGGTGAAGTAGCTGAGTTACATCCCATTCAAAGTATTTCCTTGCTGAGCAGTCTTGCTTTTATTCATAACCCTGGTTTTTCCCTCCATTTGAAACACAACTCAAGCATCAAGAAATATGAAAACAAAAACTTTTGCTAATAGATAACTACAAGAACACAAGTGAAAGACAAAAGTTTTGTATTTACCAGAACTCAAATACTACAGAGATTGGATAAGAAGCTTTTCAGAGGAGGGAAATCAAGTTAAATGGAAAATATTGTTGCACATTCATGAGAAAAGTAACACAAAAATAAATGAAATGGAAAAGCAGCAAAATCACCTACCTAGAGTTTATAAAATCCAAAGTTTAGATTCAAATGTCCATCTTCTTGGCTTTGTAGCCATGGTAGGATACCTTCATCTTTCTGAAGTGCTTATTATGAAAATCTTGAATTTATGCCCTTGGCAAATGGAACATCTTATTTGATCTCTCATGGACATGGGGTAAGAATAAATAAGAACAAGATATACATGTTTTCTTTAAACCATGAGTTACTCATTAAGAAAATTGGCATAGGGATTTGAATGCTTTCTTGAAATCATATATGAAAATGTAATTTTACTTCCAGGAAATGACTGGCTATTAAATTTATTTCCAGATAATTAATAAAATGAAAGTATTCAAGTAGGGGACAGGAAACCTAGAGATTTCATAATGCTATCAAAGAGTAGCAATATATTTGAAGAAAATATAAACATTTATCTATATTTTTCACTGTCAATGACAAATACACATATTGATATAACATTTTTAGAAGAAAAAACAACAACAACACTGATTCTAGGATTGCCAGGGGGAGTCATCTATCTCACCTACAAATGGCCTAATAAGAGGTCAGCCACCTTTGCACAACCACCTTCAATGATGAGAAATTCATCACTCCTCAAGAGAGGCCATTTTATTTTGTCAGCTGTAATTAATATTGAAGCCTCCCTATTACTAGAAAATACCTTTTTCACTGCAACTTCCACCATTACCACCCCTTAAATTTTTACAGAATTTTCCCTTCATTCCTGCATGTGATAGCCTTTATATATATTTAATATATTTTTATTAATTTCAGAGAGGAAGGAGAGAGAGAGAGAGATAGAAATATCAATGATAAGAGAGAATCATTGATCGGCTGCCTCCTACACATCCCACAGTGGGGACTGAGCTGGAAACCCGGGCATGTGCCATGACAGGGAATTGAACCGTGACCTCCTGGTTCATAGGTTGATGCTCAACCACAGAGCCACACTGGCAGGGCTATATAACCTTTTTTAGTTATTACAGTCTGAATCAATTACTCTTTAGGGCTTCTATAGTCTTTTTTTTTAATTAATCCTCACCCAAGGATATTTTTTTTCCATTGATTTCAGAGAGAGTGAAAGGAAGGGGGGAGGAGGGAAAAGAAAGAGTGAGAGAGAAACATCAATGTGAGAGAGATGAGGAGCGAACCAGCAACAGAGGTATGTACCCTTGACTGGAAATTGAACCTGCAACCCTTAAGTCTGAGGGCCAATGCTCTAACCATTAAGCAACCTGGCAAGGCCAGCCTTTGTATTTTTGAAGATAGTTTCTTCTCCTTGAATTTTCTCTCTCAAACTAAATATTTCACTTTTTAAAATTTATTCTTCTTATGACTTTATATCAGGTGCCTACACCATCCCAGATATTTTTTTAAGAAAACTCCAGTTTCAAAGACATAATGTCCAGAGGTCAAAACACATCAAGAACATAAGATCAGAAACCATAAGACTCCTAGGAAAAAAAAAAACGTGCTTCTTGATATTGGCCTTGGAGATAATTTATTGGATATGACACCAAAAGCATAGGTACCAAAAGCAAAAATCAACAAGTGGGACTACATCAGACTAAAAAGCTTCTGCACAGTAAAAGAAACTGGAGAAAAGATCTGTAAGCCATATGTCTGATAAGAAATTACTCTCTGAAATATAAAAGGAACTCATACAACTTGACAACAGCAACAAAACCAAACAGTCCAATTTAAAAATGAGCAAAATAACCAAACAGGTATTTCTACAAAGGACACAAAGAAATAAACATGTATATATGAAAATATCACTAATATTATTAATTATCAGGAAAATGCAAACCCAAAACCAAAATGCAATGTCACCTCACACCTGCTAGGATGGCTATTATCAAAATAACAAAAGATAACGAAGATACTTTTTATTGAATTTATTAGGGTGACATTAGTTAGTTAATTATATAGGCTTCAAGTGCACAATTTTATACCTCATTTGTATATTGTGTTGTGTGTTTATAACCCAAAGTCAAGTTTCCTTTACCCTGTTTTACCACCCCCACCCCCTTTCCCTCTGATAATCATCATGTTTGTGTTTTTTATTTTGGCTTAATCCTTCACCTTTATCATCCAGCCTTCCAAGCCCCCTCCCCTCTCAGAACAAGGATTCTTTACAAGGATGTGGAGAAAAGGGAACCCTTGGAC